AGGTAGGGCGACATCATGGGCCCGCCCGGGCCGGCGGGCATGCCGCCGCGCGGCGCGCCGTAGTACAGCGGCGCGCCCGCGCCGGGCGGGAACATGCCGGGCATGCCCGGGGCGGGGCCGCCCAGCGGCCCGCGCGGCGCACCCAGCACCATGCGCTGCGCGTGCTGCTGCTCCAGCTGCGCGCGGCGCACCTCGCGCCGCTGGGCCAGGGCCACGTAAACAGGCTTGCCGCGCAGCATGTGGTTGTTCAGCTCGCTGACGGCGCGGGTGGCGTCCTCCGGCGAGGCATAGCAGACGAAGCCAAAGCCGCGGGGCTTGCCGCTGGCCGCATCCACCATGACCTTGGCGGAGGTGATGGTGCCGTAGGGCGCAAACGTCGCGCGCAGGAACTCGTCGTCGGCGTCGTCGGGCAGGTTCTTCACGTACAGGTTCATGCCCTGGTAGCGCGCGATGCGCTCCGCGCGCACATCCTCGAACCGCGCGCGGAGCATGGCCTCGCGCTCCGCCTTCTTCTGCGCACGCCCCACGAACACCTCCTTGCCGGCCAGGGGCGCGCCGTTGAGCGCCTCCACCGCCGCGGCCGCCGCCTCGGGCTCCTCGAACGACACGAAGCCAAAGCCGCGGGAGGCGCCGTCCTCGCCGCGCATGACCACGGCGGAGGAGACCGCGCCGTGGGCGGCAAAGGCGGCCTTCAGTGCCTCGTCGTCCACCGATTCGTCCAGGTTCTTGACAAACACGTTGGTGAAGCGGCCGCCAGACTCGGCCGCACGCTCGCTGCGACGCAGGAAGGGGCCCACGTACACCTTCTTGTCCTCCAGCAGCATGCCGTTTACCTTGGCGATGGCCAGGCGCGCCGCCTCGTCCGCCTCGTAGTGCACGAAGCCGTAGCCCTTGGACTCGCCCGCGGCGTCCAGGGCCACCTTGCAGGACAGGATGTTGCCAAAGGCGGAGAAGGTGTCGTGCAGGGCCTTGTTGTCGATGGACTTGTCCAGGTTCTTGATGAAGATGTTGCCCACGCCGGACTTGCGGTAGGAGGGGTCACGGTGGCTCCACATCAGCCGCATGGGGCGGCCCGCCAGGGGGGCATAGTTGAGCTGCTCCAGGGCACGCTCGGCTGCAGCAGAAGTGTGGTGGGGTGGAAATGTCAGGTAAGGGGAAGAGCACAGGAAGCCTTGCGAGGTGGAGATGAACAGGTAGACTGTGCGACGGGCTGCAGAGAACATGGCATGGTCGTCCACAGGAAGGGAAGAGGATCAAATAGCCCCCTGCTGCTGACACACAGGACATGGCTGGCCAAGCCTTGCGCCTGCATCCAGCCAGACAGGCATTTGCACGCGAAAGCATGCCACGGAGGGCGATGGTAACCAAAGACCCTCGCTGACGCACCTGCGCCGGCATCGACGCCAGAGTTGTAGTTGACGTAGGCGTAGCCCAAGGAGCGACGGGTCACGGCGTCGCGGCACACGCGGATGGAAGCCACGGGCCCAATCTACAGAAGGGAGTGGAGAAAACTGGATGGCAACCAGCATGGCGATCCAGGGATCACAGCCATACAATGGCCCACGGCGGCCAGGCGAGGTCCCGACTCCGACCTCACTCCGCGTCGTTTTCAAAGGCGACAGGATCGGCAGCAAACACTACCATCTGCACGCCATGTACACGGTCCTCTTCCTACCTGGGCGAAGACCTCGTAGAGCTGCGCCTCGGCAACGTCGCGGTCAAGGTCGCCGACGTACAGGGAGGAGTTGGCCAGGGCGGGGTTGGCCTGGGGCTGGGCCGGGGCGGCCTCGGTGGAGGGGGTGGCCGGGGCCGGGGTGGTGGTTGCCGGGGCGACGGCAGCCATGATGAAGTGGTGTGGGGTGGTGTGGGGGGTGTGGAGTGGAAGGGAGGGGGTGGTAGTATATTTTTTGGGCGGGGAAGCGCGAACAGCCCCTGTTTTTTCTTTTTGGGCCTAGTAGCGCGAGGCTAGACAGGGCTCGGGAGCCGAGTCTGAGCAGCAAGTCGCCCTGGCGTGTGTGGAGGCACAGGAGAGAATGGGGAGGTGGGATTAAAGAGGGGCGGAGCGAGCGCCAGTCGCGACATTGAGCCGCCCGCTTTGCCATGAGACACGGTCACACTTTCTTTTTCGGAAGACGACATTCTGCCTGTTTTGCCCGACAGATCTCGTCTGCAGCGAGTGCGAACCCCAAACGCCCCCCTGACCCTAGATACACCCCACACAAAGATAAAGTATGACGGAATGGGTCATCAAGCGTATGTCTAGCCAGTGAGCCCACGAGCAGGGCTGGGGGCGCCAGGGCGCCATGTCCGGCGTCGTCAAGGTCCTGCGCCTGCAGAACTTCCAGATTCTCCGGCAGTTGAAGCTGGAAGAGGCGCTACTCCGCGCATCCAACGACAACTGGTTTCTTGTGAATGACGGCACCCCAGACCCCGCCATCGTGCTGGGAATCTCGGGGTGCGAGGTGCTCCAGAGGCCTGTCCTGGGTGGTTGAGGGCCCCGAGTGGCTGGGGCGTCTGGGTGGCCGTGGACCTCCACAACAGGGAATGGCACCCCGTGAAGACTCACTTCACTCGTTCCACTGCAGGAAGCCTGAGGTGATGGTCCACGAGGTGGCTGCAAGGAAGGCGGGTGTGACCCTCATTCGCCGTTTCACCGGTGGAGGCACGGTGGTGGTGGACAGCGACACCCTCTTCACCGGCCTCATCATGGGTGTGGACGAGGTGCCAGGCCTGGAACCCTTCCCCAGGCCCATCATGAAGTGGACGGAGGACCTGTTCAAGCCTGTATTTGGCAAGTATGGCGATTTTGCCCTTCGAGAACATGGTGAGTGAAACGTGTTGGTGTGTGGGTGGTGATGGACGGAAGGATACGGCATCATTACAAAACATCCGATACAGAGTTCCCTGGTGTTCCTCTCCCCAACCCCCCAACATCCAGTCTCGACTTTCCTCCGCCCCCCCCCCCAAGATTACGTGTTCAAGGATGTGAAGTTCGGGGGCAATGCGCAGGCCATCAGCAAGCGGCGCTTCGTGCACCACACCTCCCTGCTCTGGCGATTTGACCCCGACCGCATGGCCCTCCTCCAGCACCCGGCCAGGACCCCGGAGTACCGGCAGGGCCGGCCCCACCACCGCTTCATCACGCCGCTCCAGGATCACGTGCCCTCGCGACCCCACCTGCTGGACCAGCTGACGGCGAGCCTCGGCAGCGCCGGCTTCGCCCTGCAAGAAGCCTCTCTGGTGGAGGCGGAGGAGGCACTGGCGAGGAACAAGATCTGTGGCACACGGGTGCTATAGCTGTCGGGGGCGGCTGGCCGAGGCAGGGGACCCGGCCGGCGACCCGCCTCAAGCCTGCCAACACTGCCAGCACCCCCCCTGAAGCCTGCCATACCTACAAACCCAAAACTGAACCCCTGACTGAGCGTCGACGTCTTACAGCAGAAGGACAAGCGGCCAGGGCAGAAGCTCATGGGCTGGGAGGGGCAGGGGCCGACGCAGACATTCCCTGGCAGGCTGTTCCCAGCCATGGGTGGGGTGCCCAGAGCCACTGCCATCACCACTCCCCAGCCCTCGCGAGGGAGACCTCGCTCGGGCGCCGGCATGCACGCCTAGGCAGCAGCGGGCTTGTCACCCTCCAGCGGCGGCAGGTCGCCGTCCTCGGAGCTCTCGTCGTCCTCCTCGCCAAACTCGCCCGCCCTCAGGCCCTCCAGGCCCGGCCCCCCCGCGCCCCCGAGGAGGGAGGAGAAGTCGGGCATGCCGCCGGCGCCGGCGCCGCCACCACCCAGGTTCTGGAGGGCGGAGAGGTCAAAGCCATCCTCCTCCAGGCCGCCCGTGCCCTCCTCGTCCTCATCCACCCACCGGTTCCAGTCCACCTTGACGTTGGAGGGCGCGCGCCCCGCAGCCTTGAGGAGCCGGGGCCAGTGGGGCCCCTCCTCCTTCTTCGCCAGGATCAGGACCACTGTCCGGTCAGTCTTCACCTGCACATTGCATACGACAAGATTGAGGTGCAAGGCCTAGTAGGATTGATGTCCACACAGCAGAGGCTGTCCTGTGCCAGGGTTTTGTTGCGTCACACCGTGCCAGGGCACCAGGCCGAGGTGGGAAGTGGACGCGAGTGGCATGGCATGGCAGATGTGCACCGGCAGTCATGAAAAAACCAGGGCCCGTGCTGCAGCGCTCCATACCTGCTTGACATCGCTGTCGTCGATCTCGCCATACAGCTCCAGGTCCATGGAGTATGTGTGCTCATCAGGTCCTGCGGATTGCATTGGATCGAGGGTGCTCAGTAGTTTGTAAGGAAGCCGGGACCTGGAGCGCCAGCGGTGCCCCGCCCATGGAGTGCATGCTGCGAGAACGACCGCCCACGCAAGACACCGCCGCACCTGTGGCATGGGAATGAGCGTTTCCCTTGAAACTGACGCGGCCACTCTGGGAGGCCTCGTCGTTCTTCACCTCGATGGTGGGGTCCTTGCAGTCTTGCAGGTCAAAGGTGAGGTACAACCTGTCCTTGCGCTGTGCCCTGGGAAGGTAGGCGAGTATTGGATGGCATGAGGCATGCGTCTCCAGGTAAATTAAAGTAAAGCTGCAGGCGCACACCACCCATCCTACCCACATCGTACCACTGAACGGGAGGGGAGAGAGGCATCTTGATCGAGGTCGGGTCAGTGCCTAGGATCGTCTCGCTTCAGCAAATAAGCAATGCAATATATGCTTGCGAGTGTTGTTGTGTTGCTGGACCGACCCGCCCCTGCGCAATGACCTGCTGTGTGCAAATCCATGCTGCGACCTTCTAGAGAGCCACCCCTCTCCGGGTACTGCCATGCTCTGCGCGCGTTGTCGAGCGCGACGGCAGGTGCGCATGAGGACGACGCGCGGCCGTGCTCGTCAAGCGGTTGATGTGGCTCGTGTTCTGTTCAGTGTTCTAACCCTGTAGATAACCGTGCATAGACCTTGAGTCCAAGCCAATCTACGGTGCCTGGGGCGAACTTCTCAGCTCAGCAACAATATGGTGAGCACGGTACCCACGTCACAGCATGAAGCGAAGCCGGCCCTGAAATGCTCTACAATGAAAAAATGGGAGATTGTTTGTCACTGTGCATTCCCTGCCCCACTCGCCCGCAGCCATGGTTCATCTGCGACAATTGCGGGGAGTCCCTGAAAAAGGTGAGTGGCGGCACTCAATGCCCACCGGCCGCCGCGCAGGAGTCCATCTTGGTTTCGGGAGTATATACAATAAATGCACATGCGGATGTGTTCCGGCCCTTCACATCGTCACCCGTCATCCTCCCACTCCTCCCCAGGCCAAGGTGGCAACCCATGCAGGTCAGTGCGGCAGCAATGGCTTCACTTGCCTCGACTGCAGCAGGGCCTTTGACCGCTGGACGGTGGCAGGGCACACCTCCTGCGTCACCGAGCACGAGAAGTATGCTCAGGGCGCCACCAAGCCAGGGGGCTATGCCTCCAAGGGCTGTTTTGCGAGTCAGGCGGCGCCCCAGGCGGCGGCGGAACCCTCGGCGGAGGGCCTTGTCGGACCGCAGTTTCTGTCGGAAAGGTCGCCCTGGAGGTGTAGCGTCTGCTCTGTGACGTGCACCAGTCGCGAGTCCTTGGAGGGCCATGCCTCTGGCGCTAAACACCAGCGACGGGTGACTCACTTTACAAACTGGCTGGGTGGAGGGGAGAACTGCATTCGTCGGCCACTGTGTCAATGGAATCGAGGATGTGCCTTCATTCTGGGAATGTTTCAGCTGCGCTCCTGAGCTCAAGGGTATTGATTCATGCAGGCGAGGGCTGCAATGGCGGCTGCCGCCGGCCCACTTCCTGAGGGAGGAAAACCTGGTTCGGGTCACGACGGCGCGGCGCCAGTCTCCGAGACCGCGGCTGCAGCTGTGTCGGGGAATCCATCGCTGGAGACAAGTGGGAAGCGGCCCAGGGATGGGGAGGACCTTGCACCAACAGGGCCTCCCAATAAAATCAAGTGGAAAAAGCTTGCTGCTGCAGAGCTGAACCGGAAGGGGGGCAGCATGAAGCTGAAGAAGCTCACCGCAGCTGTTCTCGCCGCGGCTGGCCGAGGAGAGGACAGCGCTGCAGAGCTGCTTCAGAAACTGGAGAGCTCGGGGCGATTCAGCCTGAGGGAGAACCGCGTTGCCCTGGTGGACGAGTAAATGCTCACCCGCTCGGACTTCCCATTGAGGGCGCGAGAAAAATGCGCTCGCAAAACAGTGGCATTTTGAATTAACCTTATGCTGCGCTTGACCACACGAATGGAACAACAACTGCTCATGATCTTTATGCTGAGCGAGGTTTGAGAGGCAACTACATTTTCGGGGAGGTGCCAAGGCCCGACGGCCGACTGTGGTCTTCAGGTCAGGAGGGACATGCGGATCTCAACGCACAGATTGTTTTCCGATCCGGATCTAGAACCAAAATAAACATCGTTGCTATTGCGCTGCGAGCCGCAACTTGCTGGCCCCAGGGTGCTCCTCTAGCCAAGATTCATTCCACTGCCACATTTCACCACCCCACCTGTGGCAGGATTCGATGCCAGCTGAGGGTGAGGTCTCCATGATCTTTTTTGCCCTGGCCTTTGGCGCTGTTTTGGGCCCGTACACCTTTTACAGATTGCGTGCCGGCCCCATCCGCTTCAAGGTCAGGATGGGGTTGGGGCTTTGCATCAAATGCTCTGGGAGAGCACCATAGCTCCAAGTCCATCTCTAGGGAGGATTTAATGTATTCAATCCAACTACTCACACTCCTCCTGTACAGAAGATCGCTCCACAAGGTCGAAAGCAGCGGCGGGATGCCCAGAATCAGACCCCGGTGGCGCCCCCAACGCCTGCTTTCAAGCTCCTGGTAGAGCATCACCTGACCATCCTCTGGGTCCTGTTTGCGCTCCTGCTATGGTGAGAGGTGGCCGAGGAGCTTCCTTTTTTTGCAATGGAATGCATGACCAGCCCATTGATGCATCATGAGCGCCCAGCGCCACCCGTTCAGGCAGAGCGCTGCGTTGAGGCGGCGACTGTATCCTGCTCTGGGGCTCAGCCGTGCCTTCGATCAACAGGGGAGCAAGCGCAACACCTGTCCCTTGGACCCTTCCTCGCAGGCAGGCATGGGGCAGCCTCAGGACCATGGCGCCCTTTGACCCTTATAATACCCTGGGGGTACCGCACAATGCAGGGGAGGCCCAGATCAAGCAGGCGTACAGGTCCCTGTCCCTGCAGTACCACCCGGACAAGAACCCCGACCCGGAGGCCACAAAGTACTTTGCCAGCCACATCACCAAGGTGGGAATGCACGAGATTGCATGCATGCGACTCGCTGTGCGAGTGCGTCCCATGCTGTGCCCTGCAGGTGGGTTTGAAGCACGCTCCAAGGCAGTCGAGGCCATTCCACATCCCCAATCCCCTCCCTCGAACCCAGGCATATGAGACGCTGACAGATCCGGTCAAGTTTGCAAACTGGCAGGAGTATGGACATCCCGATGGGATGCAGGACTACGACGAGAGGTCTGTGCCCATCGTGTTGGTGGGGTAGTGTGATTCCATGACCTGGACGACCCCCTGGCTCAACTCGGGAGGCGGCAGAATGCAAGCTCGATGCCCAGCTGCAAATGGCTTCCACAGCAAGTGCTGCGCTCGAGCAGAACTCGTCCCAATCTCCTCAACCCTGCCCTGCCCCTCTCACCTCGGCAGTGTGGCGATGCCAAAGTGGATGAATGCCAAGGTGAGCGCCATGGCAATGCGTGGGGTGACGGCCTCCTTGGAGAGTCACTGCACTCGATCCATTCCACTCTACGTGTTGTTGACCATCTGCCACACCAATGGGTTCACCCTGGCATCCCGCCCCTCCACACCACCCAGTCAAAGGCAGGGTCCACGCTGATGATGCTCAGCATGCTGGGTCTGATCATCGTGCTCCCCCTAGGGCTGGTCATGAGGCACCTGATGCAGTATGAATGGTGAGCCGGCGTGCTCGGGATGTGGTGTTCCTGTGGACCCCACCCCCTGTAGCCCTCCTCGATGGCCCCCTCGGCCAGGCATCCCCAACCACTGGTCTTCAGGAACCCTGATCGTTCCTGCTGTCCAACCCCTGGACCCTCCTCCGCTACTCAGACTATCCTCCCCACCGCCACCGGCATCTTACAGATGGAACTGGGGGCTGGCAGTGGAGTGGGAGCATGGCGACAAGCCCACCTCTCCCGCCCAGCGCGCCCCAGCTCACTCGTCCTCTTCGCTGCTGTAGCCTTCGTCGTCGTAGTCATCCTCCTCATCGTCGTCATCCCCGTACTTGGACAGAACCCTCTTCTCCACGGCACCTGCGGACGTGATACACGTGATTTGCTGGATTTTTGCAGTAACCCCTTGTCCTCGTGCTGCTACAAGTGCCCAAGCCTTCAAGGTTTATGGCCCCTGGATGAAACAAAGAGCAGAGAAAGCCCCATGCCGTTTCCCACAATGCCCCTGCGCGACGCACCGAGCTCGTCGCCGCTCTTTGAAAGGTCGACCTCTGGGGCCGCCTCATCTGCCTTCAGCCGGGCACGGGGATTGCTGTCCAGGCGGAACGCCCATCGAAACTGCATGGATTTTGTGCGACGAGGGGCCGGTGTGCTTTGCCAAGGCAGGCCGTCCAAGACAGCGGGGCAAGGACCATACACAAAGGTTCACGCTGCGGCTTGAAGAGCAACACGAGAGCCCACACCAAGCACCACCTCTCCAAGGCAGCGCACCACTTTGGCGATGGACTGGAGGGCAGGTTTCCACAGCGCAAAGCTGGCCAGCACCAACACGAAGAGGGTGCTGGAGGCGACAAACTTGATGAAGCCTACCAGGCCCTGGCGCGCGTCGGTGAGCCACGACCTCCAGTCGCCGCTCCACTCCTCGCCTGTGGCCATGCAAGGTATGGAGAATTGTCTGCGATCCTTCTGAGCAGGAAACTTGCGTGAAATTCGGCAGCCATAACGAGTGCCTTGCAGATCCTCGTCCCTCCCCACCGCCTCACCTCCCTCCCCACCGCCACCGCCGCCACCACCGCCGCCGCCGCCGCTCCCCCCATCCCCGCCGCCTTGACGATTTGCGCGCTTGGCAGCCAGGTCCTCGGCATCCTTGAACACGTTCTTCTTGCCCTGGAAGGCATCCTGCAGCGCCTTCTTGGCGGCGTCCTGCGACAAAGCAAATGCAGACCAGAGCGTGTCGAGGAATCCCCTCCAGCACCTTGCAAAAGGATACTGGAGTGCCAGGTCGGCAGTCAGACGCCTGCCCATGACCTTCGTCCCCGCAAGCAGCACGGCTGCGCACACGGCTGCCCACCTGTTGATCCCCATCCTTGCGCCGGAAGGGATTGAAGCCGCCACTATCTGCCCTCACGACCACAATGGTGATGTGCTGAGGCCGCACACTCCTCCTGCAGCCCGTCTGACTCCCAAATACCGGCCTGAATGCCGCATTGGAGCTCAGGCCGCTCGCCAACATCGGCAGGGTGAGGTCCTGGGAGAGCGCGACTTCCTCGCAGGATATCACACGACACTCGGGACGGCCCCGGTCCAAATATCCCCGACCGCTGCAAGAACTCGTGAAAAATTCCAGCGGGTCGCAGCATCCGATGCGGGATGGGTGGGACCGATGTGTATGGCACGCATGGCACCCATGCGGTGGTGCCCATCCGCAAGGGCGCCATCATGTTCGGATCGGTCCCCGTCAGCCTAAGCTGGCCATGCCCCGTCAAGGGGCCCCTCGTGTTGGAGTACCAAGCTTCTCTGATGGTCATTCTTCTCTTGGTATGCTAGCATCGAGGGCTTGGGTTCCCATGATCGGGGCCGCAAGTCGGTGCATGGCCCCGCTCTGGTTGTCACTAAAGCCCCCATCCCAGCCCCTGAACCACCGCCTGCCGCCGCCCAGACTGCAGTGCAAGGCCATGCATGCCTCCACCACGATTTCCCCATCCTCAGAGAAGGATATGGCGATGATTAAGGGATTCCAGCGATGGGTCCAGCGCTGCAACAATGGCACAGCCATGCTGCCGGACATGACCGCATTCCACATCCAAGGCCATGACCAGCCTCTGGGCTACATCTTCCACTCGTGCGTTTTGTCGGAGAGGGCTCTGGGTGAGACATTTGGTTCCTCCAGCGATGCATCGGGCATGGGCGCCCTGCATTGCCTCAGACGAGCACATGTTGGTGAAGCCCACTTCTCCCCGCCTTCCCATCCCACCGCCCCGCAGGTTTGCAGAGGAGCTCCGTCGGTTCCCCGACGTATTCCAGTCCCCCACCCCAGCCTCCCTGACCCTGAACCCCGCACTGAGCAGCCCGGAGGAGCGGAGCCGGGCCGTGGACGACGTGCTCAAGACATTGCAGGCTCGCGGCCTCGTGGACGGCTGGCGGGGAGAGCTCTACCCGGTGGCGCCCTCCTTCCACGCGCCGCCCCTGCTCTCCCTGGAGCGCGCGGCGGCCGTGCACTTTGGCATCAAAGCCTATGGTGGGATGAGGAGAGCCTGGGCCGCAGCTGGGAGGCGGCATTGCCTCGGTGGGGCCGCTGAGGTCGGTGAAATTAATGTCGTCCCGCAGGAGGGGCGGCCTGGCAGAGGCACGTTGGCCTCGCCGGCATCATTGCACCTACCTTGCTCCCCGGGTATTCTGCACTTTGTACAACACAGCGACTTCATTGCACGCCGCCCGCCCCTCGCGTCCCGGCAGGCGTGCACCTGAATGGCTACGTGCGGCTGCCTGGGAGCGGGGCGCTGGAGCTCTGGGTGGCCACCCGTAGCCGGCTCAAGCCCACCTGGCCGGGGCGGCTGGACCACATGGTGGCGGGCGGCCAGGTGGGCAGTGGGGTGCGGGCTGCGGGGCTGTAGGGCGTCCAGTAGAACCTTGCCTTGGCAGGGCATTTTACCGCGGCACCCTCCCCACTTCACCTCAAACCACCACTCACCAAGCTGAACCCCCACCCCTTCAAACTCCTCAGCCGCAAGGGCTGAGCTGCGCCGCCAACATCGAGAAGGAGTGCTGGGAGGAGGCCGGCGTCCCCGCCGAGCTCGCCCGCACCGCCGTGCCCGTCGGCGCGGTGTCCTACGCTGCCCGGCAGGCCGCGGGCGTGAAGAGGGACGTGCTCTTCTGCTACGACCTGGAGCTGCCCCTGGACTTTGTGCCGCAGCCCCAGGTGAATGATTGGCGGGGGAGGGGAGGGTGTGGCCCGGTTGGACGGGGTTGACCCGAGAAATCACGAGTGATGACACCGTAGAGAGGGTCTGATTTGGGAGAGACATGCCTTGCACATGCGCAAGCAGGTCACCCACTTTGACCAGTTGCCAGTGATCGATCGTCATGATCGGCAGGCCTGGCCTCTCAGCAAGGCATGCCCGGATTGCCCATTTCAACACAGGACGACGAGGTCGAGGGCTTCGAGCGCTGGCCCTTGGAGCGCGTGGCGGAGGGGGTGGCCGGCGGCGAGCGGTTCAAGGACAACTGCAACCTGGTCATCATCGACTTCCTGCTGCGGCACGGGTACCTAGGTCCAGACACCCCTGGGTACCTCGAATTGCTGACCGGGCTCAGGAGCGGCGACTGCTCGTGAGATGCAGAGGCGGGGGGGCAGGAGGGCAGCCGCACGGGGAGGCGCCCCACAGCCAGGCTGGGAAGACGAGACCGCCCGATCCCGGGCCCCCGCAGCTCCTTAAAGCCCGGTGCAGCACCAGGAGGGGGCTGTGCCGCCTGCTCCCCTGCCTGCCACCGAGCACACCGTTGTTTCAGAGCGCGCCGCGACCTGCACTGGGCAATGGGCAGGCAGAGCATGTGCATGGAGGGGAGGGGAACAAGGCTGGGGGGCATTTTGCAGGCGTGTCTGCCATGGGACTAATGGCCGCACTCCAAGGCTCGGGAGTGCGGATGCGAATTCAGGCAGTGGTGTATGATGTGGCGGCGTCATTCCTTGCATCACGGGGCTGTACTGAACCCCCGGCACTCGACCAATCAGCCGCAGGAACAAGGGTGGGGTGATCGTTCAGTAGTAGGCGGCGAGGCTCAAGGCTAGGTGTGAAACCCAGCCGCTCTACTCACTTGTCGCCAACCTCCTGTGAAACGATTCAACTCCAACTGGGAAAATTCCAGCGCTCGAATGTTTCGGATAGTGTGCTGATGGTCTACAGGGCCGTCTCCAGCAGCAGGGTATAATCACGATGCTTTAAGGAGAGATACTTTGGTACTTATATACCTATTGGAGTATGGAATGGCGACGCACCCTCGCTGCACTCCATGAGCCCCCGTGGTATTTACCCGGGACCTCTATACTGAAATTGGCTTTCCCACTCAGAATCCCTCTTTCCTTGAGAGCAGGGCCAAAAGAATATCACATACATCCTGTGGCAATGCACCACTGGAGCTTGAGAGAAAGCGTGTGTGAGCGTAGAGGAACAGAGCAGGGTAACGAGAAGTTGGAGGTGAATATCAGTAAGTATGCAAATTTGCAAGATGAGGTCAGCCGTCCAATTGTGTGATGCCTTGGTCCCAAATCATGGGCAAGCCACTCAAAACTGGCCCTCACTCGGTGACGCGGGCCGCCCGCTCAGCCAACACTATGCTGAGGCTGGCCTTGGTTCGCCCGCCACTCAAGATGTCGAGCCTCACCTCATCCCCCACCTACAGATGGAGGGAGGGAGGGGGCGGTGTGTTGGATGTTATCAGGCAACAAGCAGCCAGACAAGCTCGATGCTGCAGCATCCTTTCAATGCCGGGTCTTCGAGCCCTGCAGCAGTTCAAGTCTCCCTTCCATTGGTCACCTTGCGCTCTGCATGATACCCCCACCCTCCTTCTTCCCCCCAAAATCATTACTCCTCACACGCCTACCTTGCACGAGTCCAGCGCATCGAAAAGATCGCCCTCGTTGGCCACCTTCCTGCCGTTCACGCCCACGATGACGTCGCCCAGGACCACGCGCCCAAACCCGTCGCGCATGGTGCCTTTGACCCCGGCGGCGTCGGCGGGGCCGCCTGGGGGCACGTCCAGCACCAGCACCCCAGAGAGGCCCAGCTGGCGCAGGGCCTGGGGCGGGGCCAGGGTGATGCCCAGCATCGGTCGCACCACTCGTCCATAGGTCAGGATCTGGTCCACCAGGCCCCGGCACGCGTCGATGGGGATGGCGAAGCCGATGCCGCTGCTGGCGCCCTTGCCTGTGGCAGGTGTTTGGGGAGAAGGGGGGGGTGGTTTGACGTGGGCGGAAAAGGAAAGGCAGGTGAAAGACCCTGGGCAGTCCAGCTACAGATAACCTGAGCCAAGGCACTACCTGTGGGGTCGGCGATGGCGGTGTTGATGCCGATGAGCCTGCCCTTGGAGTCCAGCAGGGGCCCCCCGCTGTTCCCAGGGTTGATCGCGGCGTCGGTCTGGATCACGTTGCGCAGACTGGGCCCGTTGTTAGTCCCTGGGACGCGCAGGAGGAGCAGTATATGTGTATGAATGGTAGGATTGGCGGAATTGCGTGGTCGACACTCGATAATAAACGAGAGATTGCTTGCAACTTCTGCAAATAGGCATGCCACTGCATACAGATCAGCAGGCACAGCCACAGCCGGTGCGTCTGCGTGCAGGCTGTCAGGTGCAGGCCAGTTGCCATCCACAGCTCCCGCTCTTGGTGCCTTGCAGCCAAGGACCATTCAAACCTTTGCCGCATAATAAAAAGATCCTGACCACCCAACTCCCCCCTGTACGCCCCGCCTCACCCGCTCCCAGCTCCCGATTCAGGCCAGAGATGATGCCGCTGGTCAGCGTGTGGTCCAGGCCAAAGGGGTTGCCGATGGCGTACACCTTTTGACCCACAGCTAGGCCGCTGCTCTTTCCCTGGAGGCGAGGTGGACGATGGGCTGGGGGTGAGCATGACGAGCATGGATGCCAGAGACGTCTTGGCACATTTGGTTGCCCCCTCACTTCCAGACGTGGAAGGCCCACCGCGACTAAATGTAACAATCAATTGAAAGAGCATCCTTTGCCCCCGTTCACAGGATGCTTACCACTTCCACGGCCTTGAGGGCAGCCAGGCTGGCGGGCGGGGCGTCCAGCTGGAGGACGGCGATGTCTCGCGAGGGGTCGCCCCCCACCAGCCTCGCGCTGTACACGCTCTGGTCGATGAGCGTGACGCGGACCTCCGAAGCGCCGCGGATGACGTGGTAGTTGGTCACCACGTGGCCCTGGTCGTCCCAGAGGAAGCCGGACCCCTGGCCCTGTGGCAGGCGCAGGAGGTCGGTGGAGAGGTAGGCGCGCTTGGTGGCGATGTTGGCTATGTTCACCACCGCCGGCCTGTGGAGCGTGAGGTTGGAGAATGAGGAGACAAAGTCTTCCAGTGCCAGGCCATGCGCACATGTGCAGGCAGGTGGGGAGGACCGTGGCCTCGTGCTGGTGTACAATGGGTGCAAAGACGGCCGTGAGCCGAGGGGACCCAAGAGGGGACATGGCAGGGCTGTGCACCACCAACGAGGTCCCAGAAATGAAACACAAAATCATGGTTGAGCAAGGCCTTGCCCTGCTTTACCATCAATGATGACGCCCTGCAGCAACCTACGTGTTCTCTTTGAAGATGTGAACACTCTGCTGCTCCTCGGGCGTGAGGTCAGACGGCTCAGGTTGCTGTGGGGTTGCATTGATGCATACATGAGGAAAAACCTGATACTGATGTCCAGAGCGATGCTGCCTAAGTGGCAATGCAGGCCTGAGTCGATAGTTGCCACCCCAGTGCATGTGACTCCCATCGGCAGCTGCACCCTGATGCAGACTATCCGCTGTCCCACCTTGTTCTCCTGGATGCTGGGTGCCTCCCGTGGCGCAGTGAGTGTGCTACCTCCGAAGAGAGCTGCTGGGGTGTAGGCCTGGGCTGCCATGGGTGAGAGCAGCGTTGCCACGAGGGCGCCAGTCTTCAGGGCGGCCGCCGCGCCATGCCGCAATCTCTGGACCAGCGGCATGGCCCCGTCTGATGGCCGAGATCCTGAACATCCCGCTTCGTCAGACGCGGCACGACAGGTTGCAAGGCCTCCTCGCTGCATGGAGACCCTCGTAAAGGGCAATGCACGGCCAGCCCGCGGGCCATGCGCACGGATCGCATGGCGTCCGCATGCTGTTCGGGAACCATCCATGTGCGCCGAAAGACATGGAGACCGCATCTGCATGGTGATGTTCATGCTACTTTACCTGCAGGCAATATAATGGTGAAGGATATGTATTCTGAGACTATGGGCAAAAGGGAGCCTTCTTAGGCCTTACATAGACATCATGCATGCTCAAGCATGGCCTCGGCACCCGTTCCCTTCCCTTCCGTGTGCCCGATTGCTCACCCGTGCGCTCTCAAGAAATGATGGTAGCGGGCTGATAGAGTGTAATTATAGAATTGAAAGCCTTTAATCGCGATCATTAGTTGCCATGAACCTTCTGGATCGGTTCCCCACCACCAGCAGTCCTCCCATGGCAAACACTGGGCGCGGATTGCGATGCGGGGGCGCTCCTCGCAACGTGAGCCAGCGCGTCATCGTCACAGCCATGGTACAACTTTGGGCAGATGTAGTCTCGAGGTAGATTGACCAACAAATTACTGCTTAAAAAACACAATGCTGTCACAGGTGAAGCGGGCTAGGGCTGCTTGGCACTGCTGTGCACTCCACGCTGACAGGCCCTTCCTCACCCACCCTGCGAGCCTTCCCTCGAACATCACAGGCCATCTCTCTGGGCCCTCGGGCTTCGTTGGACGTAGTGGCACGACCCGCTGGCGTCCGACGTGTGGCGCGTCCCCATACCGGAAGGAGGGCCGGCCACCCTCGCCGCCAAACCCTCGAGTCACCCCCTCGGGCAGGGGCCACGGTGAGGCCTGCACGGCTTCCCGGGGCCCCGAATCGCTTGATAGCTTGTATGTATGATATACGGTGCTTAATTGTCACTCTAGGCATTATAATTAGGGCCTTGTGAGTCGCGAAGATTTCCAGCTGGGTTGCTCAGCATGATATCTCCCCTCCTCCTTGCAGCTGGAGGCCTCAACCACAGCCGCCCCAGCCAAGGACATTGACTGGGCCCAGACTGCCAAGGACCTCGACTCCAAGTCCCCGCTAGAGATCATGGATCACGTGGGTTGGAAGGGTGACTCTCAATCGGGCGTACCAGCAAATCGATATCTGGCTGCTGTCGAGCACAGTTGTGGTGCACTCACACCAGCCCTGTGCCACCTCCACTAACTCACTGCAGGCCCTGGCTACGTTTGGTGACACCATCGGGATTGCCTGGTCTGGGGCTGAGGACGTGGCCCTGGTGGAGTATGCTCACCTGACGGGGCGCCCTTACCGCGTGTTCAGGTGCGGCGCGCCTGGCCAATGGAGGTGCAGAGAGCGCTGCATGGACAGCCTGAGCTGACTCAATTGTGGCCTGATCACCTTTTGAGGTACTATGCTGAACCTAAAGTTCCTTGCCCTCCTGCCGCAGCCTGGACACCGGCCGCCTCAACCCTGAGACCTACCGTGTCTTTGCTGCCGTGGAAAAACACTACGGCATCAAGATTGAGTACACCTTCCCAGATGCCCAGGTGGGCAGGCGGTTTGTGGTGGGGACTTGAGCGTGCCGAGGGCTCAGCTGTGCGGGCTGCAGCCCTTAAACGGCTGCCTGCTTCGTCGGCAGGTCATATGCCTGAGCTGAGAGGCCAGGGTTTCACCTGATCGTATGCCCCTGCCCGAGCGCAAGGCCTCTGGCTCGACGCCATGCAGTCGCCGCATGATGCAGTCACAGCGTCAATGCCAC